CTTGTAAGTAGATTTCCTACCTTTTATTTATTTTTAGAGACAAGGTCTCACTCTGCTGCGCAAGCTGAAGTGCAGTGAGTGGTGCAATCAAACCTCATTGCAGCCTTGAGCTCCAGGGTTCAAGTGATGCTTCCACCTCAACTTCCCACATACCTGGGACTACAGGTATACACCACCACGCCTGGCTAATTTTTTACTTTTTTGTACAGATTGGGGTCACACTATGTTGTCCAGGCTGATCTTGAACTCCTGGCCTCAAGCAATCCTCCCGCCTCAGCCTCCCAAAGTGGTGAGATTACAGGTATGAGCTACCACGCCCAGCCTACCCATATTTTTAACAGATAGGTCTATAAACACATTTTGTGGTCTCTGTGTTTCTCCATTTCTGGTAGAGTTTCTAAGCTCTCTGTTTATGCCAAAGTGACTTGCTGCTGCTATATTCTCCTCCTCATAACACTCATTAGCTCTGAGAATAATTTTCCATTTATTCATCTCTGAATAATGCTAGTTGTGTTGAGTCTTGGTGTTGGTCAATGGGATGGATGAGTTTATAAACTGGTCCCATTCTCTGCCCAGAGATGAAAGGGCAGGTCGCTAGGCAAACTTCCCTGCCCAGTCCTCTGGTCCTGGCAGTCTTTCGTGGGTGCTTTGCTAAGGAGATAACTTTCTGAAACTCTTATTTCCTAGTCCTCTGGTATCTGAACCAATGCAGAACATTAACACTACAGTTGTCTCATTCACCATAGCCAGGATGTAAGATGACATGAGGTACCAAGAAGAGGCCCCAAGAACAGTTCCCTCTTGTCCCTTCAACTCCATAACTTTTCTTACTTTATTTTTGAGTCAAGGTCTCACTCTGTCACCCAGGCTGGAGGGCAGTGGTAAACTCATGGCTCATTGCATCCTTGACCTCCCTTGGGACCGGACATCTTCCCCATACAGACTCTGAAGCAATTCATAAACACATGCGAGTCAGGCAAGTTCTAAAGATTCGTGTTTTAGTCCGGGCTCAGTAGCTCAGCCTGTAATCCCCGTACTTTGGGAGGCCGAGGCGAGTGGATTGCCTGAGCCCATAAGTTGGAGACCAGCCCAGGCAACTTGGCAAGACCTCGTCTCTACAATAAATCAAAAATTAGCCAGGCATGGTAGTGCGCACCTGTAGTTCTGGCTACTTGGAAGGCTGAGGCGGAAGGATCACCGGAGTCCAGCGGGTCGACGCTGGGATGGTCATGAGTGTGCCACAGCAGTCTAGCCTGGGTGATGGAGTGAGACTCCAACTCAAAAAAAAAAATTGTTTTGCCAGAAGCGGGTTTGAGACAGTGGCTGGGGCCTGAACCTAAATTGAGCTCCTTCGTTCATCCCCCTGAGCTGGGGAGACTCACCCAGTGACTGGAAACAGCAGGCAAAGCGTCATGTGTTACTGTCAGGCAGTTTAAGACAGGGAGAGCCAAAGGAATGAGCTGCGCTGTGTAGTGTTTCATGCCATGGTCTTTTCACTGCAGAAGGAAGGAAGATAGATTCTTCTCTCCACCCTTACTTTCCATACCAATACTTCCAAAATGGCAGAAGTTTCCATTTCATAAACAGAAAAGGGAAGAGAGGACAAAAACAATTCCACAAAGAGTTCTTCCTGCCCTGTGCCCTTGCCTTTTGCTTTCTACCCCAGCGATCTTGTCTCCCAGATGCACTGTGCTACCCCTAGGATCCTACCGTCCCAGCCTACCTGCTACCTGGGTGTGAGATTCCAACTCAAAAAAAAAAAAAAAAGAGAGAGAGAGAGGTGTCTATTCATATCTTTTGTCCACTTTGTAATGGGGCTGTTTGTTTTATTCTTTTTGGCACGTTTTTAGTTCCATGTATATCCTAGATGTCAGGTCTTTATCAGATATACAGGTGGCAAATATTTTTTCCCAGTCTGTGGGCTGTCTTCTCACTCTCTTAATGGTTTCTTTGGCTTTGCAGAAGTTTGTCAGTTTGATGAGGTCTCACTTGTCTATCTTATCTCTTATGGCACAGGCACTTGAGATTTTGATGCAGTATTTTCTTCCTCCCTCCCTCCCTCCCTCCCTCCTCTCTCTCTCTCTCTCTCTTTCTTTCTTTCTTGTCAGAGTCCCACTCTGTCACCCAGACTGGAGTGTAGTGGCATGCTCACAGTCACTGCAGCCTCAACCTGCTGGGCTCAGGAGATCCTTCCACCTCAGTCTTCCAAGTAGCTGGAACTATAGACGGGTGCGACCACATCTGACTACTTTTTTTTTTTTTAACTTATTGTAGAAATGAGTCTTGCCATGTTGCTGAGACTGGTCTTGAACCCCTCACCTCCACCTCCCAAAGTGCTGGGATTATAGACGAGAGCCACTGCACCCAGCCTGATGCAGTATTTTCAATTCCCCTGAACTAGCTGTAGTTTGTTTTCTTCTCCGGTTTTCTCCTGGTCTTTTCCCTCTTTCTCAAATGTCCATTTCCTCTTTTCAACACCTGGTTAACTCACACTTGCCTTTCTAGGCTCAGTTTGGGTGTTAGTTCATTTTCAATCTCTCCCAGGCTCTTCTCAGTCTATGTTAAGCCTGGCAGCTCTTTGCTGCCATGGCACCCTGAATTTACCTTAATGCAAGCATCCTACTCTATGGCAATCAACCATTTCCTTCTCTCTCTTCCTGGCTAAATTCTGAGAGCCTGAAGGCCAAGGATTACATTTGACTTATGTTTTGTTCACATCACCTACAATGGCGGTGTTTAACATGTCATAAATGTTTAGCAAATACATTGAAATAAACAAATTCAAAGCACTGTTGGAGGGTAGTGCACAAATATGCATAAAATTCACATTTTCACTTAAGGACTTTATTCCCTAGGAGGCAAAAGTACAAGTAGAACTACAAGATACTCTGTAATTACACACACAGAAACCAGTGCCTGCAGGCCACAGTTTGAGGTTGGATTAACCTGAAAAGCTGTCTCTTTAGAGGAATGACCTGAGTATAGTAACTGAAAGAAAGAAGATGCAAATGGTCAGAGAGACTGAGGAGAGTGTTTTTTAAGTTTGGGGCTTAAGAAAGAAGTGGTCACTGTGCTTAAGGAATGGGGTGAAAACATTGACTAAGGTAGAGGCTGATGAAGAGGTGGTGAACAGGTCAGCTTGTGTGTGTGTGTGTGTGTGTGTGTGTGTGTGTGTGTGTGTGTGAAACCTAGAAAAATAAATTGGAGACTATAGCAGATTTTAAGTATCTTTGTCCTTTTCATTCTCTGTCCCCAACATAGAATACCGCAGTATTCTAGATTGCCTGTCCATCACAAATTCTCTTTGTCTCCTCCAGAATCCAAAAAAGAATAATTAAGGTATTTTCAAAATGGAAAGTTTCCATGCCAAGTAATGTTGCCTTCTTTACCAAATTGTAACTTCCTAATGTGCTTAAAGGTAGTGTACACCAGGTTTTACCATTTTTATTTTGAATGTAGTTCTGTGTTTGTGTGGTTTTGTTCTGTTTTTGTTTTTTTGCCTGGGCTGTGGACTAGCTGCACAAGACTTGAACTTCTCAATTTGCTGGCTCAATTTAATTTTAGTTTTAATATATAAATGAACTAGACATATGATTCCAGAAAAACTTAAAGGTGAGAAAAGGATGAACAGCTTGTTAGTCTGTTTCTCTGGAAGGAAACTTTCAGGGTTTACCTTATACTAGTCATAAACTCTAGACACAAACCCTAAACAGTCACCTACCAACACTGTCAACACCAACACAGACCTTTCCCTAAACCCATGGGCTTCACAGGAGCTTGGGATGATGGGTCTTTTCAAAGTTCTACTCAATTGCCAAGGCTCACATACTATGATACCATCCAACCCACCTGCTTTTATTTCTTACTACTTAGCAATAACAACAAATAACCTTCCAGTTAGACCACTTCACACGCCATCCTGCAAGGCCTGGCTCAAGCCCCACATCCTTTAGGACAGTGGTTCCCAACCTTTTTGGCATCAGAGACCACTTTCATGGAAGACAATATTTCCACAGTGGTGGTGGGGAGGGGGTGTCCAGTCAAACCTCACTGTTAATCACCACCTCAAGCTCCAACTCAGATCATCAGGCATTAGATTCTCATAAGGAGCACGCAACCTAGGTCCCTCGCATGCACAGTTCACAAAAGGGCTCACCTCCTGTGAGAATCTAATGCTACTACTGATGTGACAGCAGATGGAGCTCTGCTTGCCCGCTGCTCACCTCCGGCTGTGCGGCCCAGTTCCTACAGGTCAGGCCCAGGGGCTGGGGACCCTGCTTTGGGATACATCTTCCCCAAGACTTACTGACCCCTAAATGGTATCTTGTATCTTCCTGACTTACTGACCTGTCAAGAGTATCTTGTGTCTTCCATGTCTAATTGTCTATTTAAAAAGTCTAGCGACTTCCCTCCCCCCAGTATATACACACACTTTCCCAATTTCTCAGACCCAGCCTGTGGATGAGCATGGTTGTATTGAGAGGAGAAATAAAAGATGGCTGCCCCTCCAGCTTTCTCCCACTACTGACATGTGTGAATTAATTTTATTTCAGGTCTTCAAGTAATCAGGTCTTCAGGTCCTCATCACTGTCATAGAGTTAGAATGTCACCTTTAAATCATTTGGGTAATGCTCTCCATTTTGCAGATGAGGAATTTGAGACCCCAAGAGATGAAGTGACTTACCTGATATTTTAGTTATATATTTGTCATTCTTGTTTTACACTGAATAATCACTGTCTCCCTCCTTCTTCCATTTTTAAACTTAATTTCTTGAGGGTAAGGATTGCCATGTCCTGTGTATTTTCCACATCCACAATAACAACTAGCAGTCTTCTCTTGTTCCCATACAGGATCCAGAATGGGACTGGACACTCAATGTGTGCTAAGGAAAGAAGACTTGGATTAAATGGAAACCCCGCAGAACGCGAACTATACAGAGACTCTGAATCTGTCCTTGGGTGAAAACCTGTCTCGGGTTGGCCAAATAGCCATGAAAAGCATGGGCCAAAAGAAACAAATCAAGTATGTGGTCTTAGATGCTCTATGAAATTATAATACCACTTCTGACTCACTTACCATAGCACTTTGTATGGTGACAGCCACTGAGTAGACCCTCATTTTAATTGACTGACTGTTCCCAGATGAAAAAGCAGATCTTGGTCTATGTTTCATGCAGCAATAGGAGTAGCTTTGCCAAAAAGAAAGCACCGGCCTGTTCCAGATGATCACTGTTGGGTGAAGACAGACTTTTCATGTAGTTCTGTGCCTTAAATTGGCCTCTAAGAAGAGTATCTGGGATTCTGTGCTGCTTTTGCTACAGTGAAGATTATATGTATTATATGATTAATTGTTAGATAATATAAGGCAATAGGGCACATCAAAAGGGCACAAACTTTAAGATGTTAAGACGAATCTTGGTCTCTCCACATCAGGTCACCTGCTCCCCTTAGGACCATTTTCAAGCCCTCTGGCCTGAGGTAACAGTGCACCTGGTGGTCAGCAACAGATGGAAGGTAGCCATTTTTGGATGGGATTAGATCTTTGATGTGGAAGTATTTGCACCATGGGATAGCCAGTTGACCTATTCACTGCATTGCTTGGCTGTTTCTACTTTTCTTATTTTGGCTCTCATTCTATCCTCACTTTTTAAAAAATTTATTGTTATTATTATTATTTTTGAGTCAGAGTCTCACTCTGTCACCCAGGCTGGAGTGCAGTGTGGCACGCTCTCAGCCACCCCAGTATCCACCTGCTGGGTTCAGGTGATCCTTCCATTTCAGTCTTCCAAGTAGCCAGAACTACAGGCATGTGCTACCATGCCTGGCTAATTTTTTGATATATTGTAGAGACGAGGTCTCACCGAGGTGCTCAGGTGATCTCAAACCCCTGGGCTCAGGCAATCCTCTCACCTCGGCCTCCCAAAGTGCTGGGTTACAGGCTTGAGCCACCATGCCCGGCCTCTACTATCTTCTCTTTTAAAAAAGAGAGGTCTAGTGAAGGTGGTTGCCTAATTCTTCTGAATTTAACTCCAAAATGAAACTGTCTCCAAAAAGGAAGCATTTATTTTCATCATTAACTCCATCTTCTTGATGAGCATCTTATACTATGTTCAGGCAGTAAATGGATTTAAAAGAAATAATTCAGGGAATCCAAAATACTTTATTATTAAAGATTGCAACTTCTGCCCCTCCCCCAATTTCCCCACAGGGAATGTGTGTATCAGAGTGAAGGATGGAAAAGTGAAAGAGCAGAATACAAAAATATTTGCCGTTGGCTGGACTCAGTGGCTCAGCCTGGAATCCCAGCACTTTGGGAGGCCAAGGCGAGTGGATTGCCTGAGCCCGTGGGTTTGAGACCAGCCTGGGAAACTTGGAGAGACCTCGTCTCTGCAATAAATCAAAAATTAGCTGGGCGTGGTGGCTGACACCTGTAGTTCTGGCTACGTAGAAGGCTGAGGTGTAAGGAACGCCAGAGCCCAGCAGGTCGATGCCGGGGTGGTGGCCATGAGTGTGCCACTGCACTCCAGTCTGGGCTACGGAGTGAGCCTCTGACTCAAAAAAAAAAAAAAAAATTGCCATTGGGGCCAGGTGTAGTGGCTCACACCTGTAATCCCAGAACTTTGGGAGACTTAGCGGGAAGGATTACTTGAGACCAGGAGTTCAAGAGCAGCTTGGGCAGCATAGTGAGACCTCATCTCTACACAAAATTTTAAAATTAGCCTAGTGTGGTGGCACATGCCTGTAGTCCCAGCTTACTCTGTAGGCTGAGGCAAGAGGATCACTTGAGTCCATGAGTTCTAAGCTGCAGTGAGCTATGAGCATGCCACTGCACTCTAGCCTGGGCAACAGAGTGAGAACCTGTCTGTAAAAGAAAAAAAAAAAAATAGCCATTGATGATTATTTTCATTACTCTAGTTTTACGAAGAGAAACTTTTGGATGTGGTTAGGAAGATGAGAGAGCCTATAATCCAAGCAAGGCCAATAAGAATTAGATACAGTTGTAAAGGTCCATGAACTATATTCCTTCTCCTAGATTCATTGGGTAATCATTGACCAATCATAGGCAAAGGCAGAGCCATTTCCATGTGGCAGAAGAGAGGGCAGATAGGTATTCAAAACAGCAGATGGTCTTTAAGAGTATTATGAGGGCAATTCTTTCAGGTCCCCTCCTAGTGTGGGAGCTTTTCTGTCCTCTTAATAAATCCTGCTTTCTTAAAAAAAAAAAAAGTATTATGAGAGTATTATTAAGAATTTCCATAAACAGTCTACTAGAGTATCTCCTTGAATGTTCTAAAATCCCTATTTTAGAAGAAACCAAACCATCAGGGGTCATCATCTCTCTAAAAGGTCCCACTTGTTTAATTCTCAAACTGAAGTTTTGTTTTCTCCCAGCATACAGACTGGATAGAGTCCTATTCTCTACTACATATTCAACTAGTGATCACCAAAATTGGACCCTTCTAAGTTAGGCTCCCAGATTTTGTTCAGGGAGATTGAGACCATGCAGAAGTCCAGGCCTCGGAGTTAGAAATGCACCTTGGAGTTGGATGTTCTGTCTCTTTTTCAGGTTTCAAAATGTCATATCAAAGATGTCAGAAAAAAGCCCAGCTAAACCTGAGAAAGGAGAATTTTTTGATAGTGAAGAGGTAAGGAAGAGCATTAGCAAATATTTCATTTGTAGTCCTTTGGAGTTGCTTAGAAGTGCTTTATAAACTGGGTCTCATAAGTTCCTATTGAAAAGCAAAAAGGAGTATTTATATTTTAATTTGTGTACTCTCATGAAAGAGAAACAGAGGTATAGAAAAATAAGAGATGAGAATACATTAGCAACAAATCAGGGCACAAAATCCAGGAGCCAGAAACCTCTTTTAGGCAGTAAGGGAGTGCTAAACCCTAACTTACCTGAGCTTGACAGCTACCTCTCGTAGCAAGACACCATTGGGTATCTTGGTTGCATTGCCAGTTGAATTCAAGTGAATTTTCCAGGCCAATTTTTATTTAATCAGCCAGAAATAATGCAATTTAACATAACAAAGCTAAAAACAGATTCCAATTTGGACAATCTTGTGGGTTTAGTCTGCTGCTGGACATTAATTTGGAATAGAGATACAATACCTCAGAAAAATTCAGGAGTAAAAACATTTTCCCTGGAGGCTTCTCCCTAAAATTAATTAAAAAAAAAAAAATCTACAAAAGAAAAAGTCTTCACACTACCCCCAAATACATTTCTCCTAAATGTCTATGATTCTAAATATGTCATGCATTTCATATTAGGGAGGCAAGTTTTTGGTAATATATTTCTGTTTTGAACAAATGGACTTTATTTTCCAAAAGGTAATGAAAATTAAATCATTGAGGCTGGGTGTGGTGGCTCACGCCTATAATCCCAGCACTTTGAGAGGCCAAGCCGAGAGGACTGGTTGAGCACAGGAGTTCGAGACCAGCCTGGGCAACTTGATGAGATCTCATTTCTACAAAAAATTAGCAGGGTGTGGTGGTGCACACCTGTAGTTCCAACTACTTGGGAGGCTAAGGCAAGAGGATCGCCTGAGTCCGGGAGGCTGAGGCTGTGGTGGCGGTGAGTGTGCTACTGCACTCCAGCCTGGGCAACAGAGTGAGACCCCAATTGAAAAAAAGAGGAACTGCTTGTGCCTTTGGATTTGCCCCATGTTCCAGCCCTTGCCTCCTGGGAACTGTGTGCCCTTTTTCTTGCTCCCTTTCCCTCCCCTAAGAATTGCTGCCATCTGATCTTTTCCTCCTGGAGCTTAGCAATGCCTCCTCTCCACCTACAGTCTGTCCCATTCTTTCCTTTTTTTAAAGTCAGGTTCTCACTCTATCGTCCAGGCTGGAGTGCAGTGGCACAACCACTGCTACTACAACCTCGACCTGCTGGGCTCAGACAATCCCTTCCACCTCAGTCTCCCAAGTAGCTGGGACTACAGCCATATGCCAACCATGCCCAGCTCATTTTCTTTTTGTAGAGCTGTGTTGTCCAGGCTGATCTTGAACTCCTGGGCTCAAGCAATCATCTGGCTTCGGCCTCCCAAACCACTGGGATGGCAGGTGTGAGCTGTCGCCCCCAGCTGTCCCATTCTTTCGACCTCCCTCTTCTTCGTTCGCCTTCATGCTTTATTCACCTTGCTACATGCCCCTTTCCTCTGCACCCACCTTCTTGGGGTACAGCAATCCTTAGACGTGCTGATCCAAACACAAGAGTGTGCACCCTGTCTTTTTTCTGATTTCTGATAATGCCAAACCACAAGAAGAGAATTCAGAGTTTTTGTCTGCTCGGGCTCTTGTCATGACTCATCCCTGGTCATGGCCATACAAGAGAGAAGGCAAGAACACTGGGGCCAGCGGGAGGGAAAGGAACAACCTCAGCCCCTCTACCGCCAGATAGGACACCTGGACAACTCATCATTACCCAGGACCACCCCTGGCAGAAAATACAGAGTGGCAGACACCATGTCACCAGCACTCAGTGTGTATTCTGTGGTGTTTTTGGAAGGACTGTAGTCCTACAGAGATGTTCCAGAGTGCAAGCTGCACTCACTACCCTCTTCCCCCACTCCCAGCTTGGATGGCAGAGTGGTTCAGGCCCAGCACCCACAGGCCCCTGGGTGATTGCCCTTCTGTAACTGACTTTTTTCCTTAGAGATGGCCCTCCGTATTGGTTCTCACCAGGTCTCGCTCCTGCAGCTCAAGGAAGAACAGAGGAAGGGGGTGTGAGACCTTGGAGTGACTTGCCCCAGTCTGAACAATGCTACCCTTAGCTCCTTCCTGGCCTAATAGATTTTCCTGACATCGCATAGGGTTGGTCCCCATTTCACGGACAAGTCTCCCCATAGGGATGCTTCAGAACCCGGCTCTCACTCCTGTGGTTCTAGTTCTAGAAACCCAGAGTGTAAATGCTAAAGCTCACTGTACTCATCACTCGGTATATATAAGCGAGAGACTTGTTAGCGAGATGAAAGTGAAGTAAGGAATGGGGCACTGTTTAAGAGAGGGACAGCTGGACACGGCTAACTTTTGTTATTGTCTTTAGATTTTTGATGCAGCCGGGCAATCAAAATTTATTCTGGAGAAACTTCAGCATTATATAGAACATCCCAACCTGGTAGGTGAAGAAAGCGTTTCCCCCAGACCTCTGAGGGCAAGTTCCAGCAGCGTACCCCCAGTGCTTCCAAGTGCTCCCACGAGTGTGTGAACTCCTAGGACAGGAAGGCAGAGCTGGGACTCCACGCCAAGGCAGAGCTTGAATCAGGTGTTGAGGTGGGAGGTGGGAACTGTCAAGACAGTCAGTGATCCCTGATGCTGAATTTTTTTTTTTTGAGTCAGGGTCTCACTCTTTCACCCATGCTGGTGTGCAGTAACAAGATCACAGCTCACTGCAGCCTCAGCCTGCAGGGCTCAGGCAATCCTCCTGCCTCAGCTTCTTGAGTAGCTGGGATTACGGGTGCATGCCACCACGCCTGGCTATTTTATTTTTATTTTTATTTTTGTAGAGAAGAGGTCTGGTTATGTTGTACAGGCTGATCTTGAACTCCTGGGCTCAAGCAATCCTCTCAACTCAGCTTCCCAAAGTGCTGGGACTACAGGTGTGAGCCACTATAGCCAATTTGATTTTTTTTTTAATTGAGAAAACATATTTACGATCGGGAAAAATGTATTCCTAATCTATTTTCTCCCTTCCTTGTCCTCTGTCTCTAACCTCTGCCTTCTTCCTACTGAGAAAAAAGCAAAATCAGTGCGACCACCCCTTCCCCACCCATCCCTTAAGGGACCTGCTGTCTTTTGTGACTGTTTTTCTTTGGAATACTGTGCTTGTGAATGCATGCTAATGTGGTTGTACCTGTGGAGAAATACTGGGGTGTGGGAAGACATAAATGAGGGAAGGTGTCGAATTGTGTGCTGTGCCTGTTACCTAAGAACTCCCTCAGCAAGGAAAGAGTTGAGAAAGGCCAGCTAACTTCAGCTACATAGAAATTTCTGCTTGCCCTGCTATGCGGGGCCTCATGGTACAAGTTTTTGAAGAAGTTGCCTTGCTCCTTTTATTGTAGAAATCTTTCCATCCCATTTTTCCAGTTCCTGAGTCTATTTCAGGGGGATGCTCCAAGGAGGGAAAGGGATAGAGGGATTCCGACAGTTTCTTTTGCTTTCTTTCTTTTTTTTTTTTTTTTTGAGTTGGAGTCTCACTCTGTTACCCAGGTTGGAGTGCAGTGGCACACTCATGGCCACAGCAGCCTCGACCTGCTAGGGTCAGGTGATCCTTCTGCCTCCGCCTTCCAAGTAGCTGGAACTACAGGCATGTGCCACCATGCCCAGCTAATTTTTTGATTTACTATAGAGATGAGGTCTCGCCAAGTTGCCCAGGCTGGTCTCGAACTCATGGGCTCAGGCAGTCCTCACTGGCCTCCCAAAGTGCTGGGATTATAGGCGTGAGCCACTGCACCCAGTCTGACAGTTTCTGATAAATACATTTTGGAGCGGGTTTGTCCTGCCCCTTTTCAGCCTCTGTCCTTACCCCACAGAGGCAAAGGATTAGTCAATTGATTCGTTCATCTTCTCTTGACCTCTTTTCTCTCTGGAAACCCTTCTGTCGGCTTAGGCCCAGTACTACAAGCCTTTGAAGCCCACTGCGCTGCAGAAATTCCTGGCTCAAAGCAGGAAAACCACAAGCTTCATGTTAAAAGTGACAGAGTATGACCAGGACAAGGCCTTGCTGATTATAACCAACAACCCACCTCCCTGCTCAATCACTCAGCAAGAAAAGAGCAGTGCGCCCAAATACTTCTCCAAAGAATTACTGCTCAAGGTAATGGTACCGAGGGAAGTTTGCTGGTATCCTAAATATAGATTCTGCAGAATTAGAAGGGAGCTGAGTCAACATAGAGAACAGTGCTCAAGAAACGACCTCCTTCTTCTTAGTCCTGGCCCTGTGCTTCCTAAAACAGAATCTTGAGAGCATGGAAAATACAGTTAGAACTTGACCAACTTGCGTCATGAAATTTCACTGCAGGGAGAAAACGGGGTCTTCATTGGAACATGCTTCGGTTGAAGATACTTAGTTGCTAACTAACACTGGGTAAACTGTCCACTGGCTTGCTTGCTTTCTTTTTTTTTTTTCCGATGGGTAAACTACTTACTCTAAAGTAGTACAAGACAAAGTGAGAAATGAGGAGATGGGAACAGAAACGAGTATCTAAATGAGAAAGGAGTAAAGGGCTATGCTTTGCACATGGTGCTCTTGGGTGTCAGGAAAAGGGGAATTGACTAACACAGTAGCCAGACATTTGAAACACTGTTATAGACTGAAGATCAACTTCCATTCAATAAGCGATTACCGAACACACAGTAAGCTAAAACCAGATTATAAAGATGGTTCCCGAACAGTTCCTACCTTGAAGAGTTGAATAGAAGAGACAGATCAATACATGAGATTTGTGAAAGTAATGATAACATGGCAGGATATGTGAACAAGAGAAGAATATATAAGATAATAGATGTAGAACAGAGAATAGTGTCTGTCGGGGAAAATGGAGTGATCAGAGGGTCATCTGCGGCAAAAGAACAAGGGAATATTCCACCCACAGGGAAGTACACAGGTATGGAGATATGAGAAGTGAGGTATGTTCAGGAAGATGGGAGATAGGCAAGGCAAGAGATTTAAGGATGGTAACAAATTTGTGTTTTAGAAAGACCAGCTTGGAGGTTGAAGAAATGTGTGTTTTAGAAAGACCACTAAACCGGGCTCGGTGGCTCAGCCTGTAATCCCGCGCTTTTGGGAGGCTGAGGTGAGTGGATTGCCTGAGCCCACGGGTTCGAGACCTGGCTGGGCAACTTGGTGAGACCTCATCTCTACAATAAATCAAAAAAAATTAGCCGGGTGTGGTAGCGCGTGCTTGTAGTTCCAGCCTCTTGGAAGGCTGAGGCAGAGGATTGCTGGAGCCCAGCAGCTCGAGGCTGCGGTGGCTGGGAGCGACCACTGCACTCCAGTCTGGGCAACAGAGTGAGACGCCAACTAAAAAAAAAAAGAAAGACCACTAATAGTTGTGGAAGAGATACAAGCCAGAATGATACAAGAAGGGACCAAAAACACTGGAATTATCTTTTGGAGGGCGGGCCCCTTGTAGTACAGGCTTTTCCCACTAGGTGAGTGTTCTAGGAACCCATCGGCACCACAGTACCAGCTAGTGTTGTGGTGAGAGGCTGTAGTCAGCGTCATTGAATTTTTTTTTTTGAGATTCTTTGTTTATTTCACAATGGGTTATTTACACAAACAACCTGCCCGCAATGAATTGAGTGTTGAGCAGTTTTTGACCAAAAACAGCTCGACCCTGTGCCCCACGCTTCCTATTCACCCAATCTCACCCCAAGCGACATTTTAATTTTCTTTCCTGGATGAAAAAGTCCTCAAAGGGAAACGTTTTGCCGGTGTGGAAGAGGTGAAACAACAAACAGCAGAAACACTAAAAGGCATCAAAGTGAATGAATTAAAAAATTATTTTGTGCAGTGGGAAAAACATCTCCATAGGTGTATTGCCCCAAAAGGAGGATACTTTGAAGGTGACTGAAGTTTAAACATGCATGAATAAATGCAGATTTTAAAAATAAATAATTCTGGTTTTTGGGAGGTACCCCTCATAAGTAATGAAGTTACTACGATAGTCAAGGTGAGAGACATTGAAGAGGTGAACTAAATCATCAGCAGAGGAACTGAAGAAAATTTACTTAAGAGATACTTTGGCCACTCACACCTGTAATCCCTGCACTTTGGGAGGCAGAGGCAAGAGGATTGCCTGAGCCCAGGTGTTCGAGACCAGCCTGGGCAACTTGGCAAGACTTCATCCATACAATAAACCAAACAATTAGCTGGGCATGGTGGTGTATGCCTGTAGTTCCAGCTACTTGGAAGGCTGAGGCAGAAGGATCACCTGAGCCCAGCAAGTTGAGGCTGCGGTTGCCATGAGCATGCCACTGCCCTCTAGCCTGGGTGACAGAGTGAGACTCTAACTCAAAACAAAAAACAAAACAAAAAAACAAGAGAGATACTTAACAATCAAAATCTAAAAAAAGGTCTTGATACCCTTGAGAGGGCTTAATCTAACAAGAACAAATTAAACAAGATCAGCAAAAGTGCACATAAAATAATCTAAGAGGAATTTGTTTGCTGGGTACAGGATTACCTGAGGCAGATTCTTATAGTAACATGTGGTGAGTTTGGAATTAGTGTGTCCTTAGTTGCTAGAGGGATGGCACTGAGATCCTTCTTCAGGTGGAAGATAAAATGCTACTGCCCAACGGTCCATGACGACCAAGGGGTGAACAAGTTTACTGCCTGGGATCTCTTGAGTCCTGAAACTTACTCTTTGAAGGTAAGCTCAGTGGTCATTTCTCATGGTAGTGGATGGACTATCCACCACCAGAGATACATGCCAGGCCAAGATTGCCTTGATTAAGATAAAGAAGGTGATCAAGTCTATCATGTAAGCTGGGTACAAAAGCAGCTTTCTTCCTACCGCTAGCGCTTTGTGAATACTCCAGGTCTGGTGCAGAACCTAATCACATTCATGAGCAAATTGTTACATTGCATTCATGGACAGAGTTAAGACTCTGATTGTCAAAGACTGTCACCATGGTAATTTTATGGGGCTACTTGAAGCAAGCCTAAGAAGCTGGAAATGCCCAATATCTACAATACCTCTTGAATATCCATGCTGCCTTCCTCCGCTTCCCTTGCTGGAAAAATGTGACACTCTTTTGTGAACTTAGGATTATATACAAGAAAAGCACTATTTGCTATGTTCAGGCATGTGTATAAGAAGAGTGTGAGTTCTACTAGGCAAGTCATGGAATGTACCAGATGAGTCTATTATACCAGCTTACATGATAGACTTGATCACCTTCTTTATCTTAATCTATTGTTACACTCACAGCCCCTTCTAAGTGAAACTGACCCTATCACAAACTCCTGAAGAAGAGAATGTCCTAAAAGGTTCTATTTTGTACACCCTAACCCTGTCTCTACTCCTTGGTGGGACCAGAGGAGGATGCCAGACCCAGTAAAGCAAAATTCATAGACTGGTTAGTAACCTATGGTGTGGATTGATACCTTCAAATCAAAACCAAAACCAGTCAACCTATTAACAACCAAAATCCCTGAGCTAATCAGATTCTTGTTTCCAAGTATCTGAATTGGGAAACGAAGAGACTGAGGCAGTGGGGATGAAAACTAAAAGGAAACCTAGAGTGAGGTCATAGAATCAAACCGTGAGGAAGAAGGGTCATCAGAGAAGAGTATGGGAAGGTGGAAGATGTAGGGGAGTAGAAATACATAAACGGAAGCTGTTGGTAGAATAGATATGATATACAGGGGGTGCCAAAAATGTCTACACATTTTAAGAGACGTTAACAATGTATGATTTTTCAAAGTTGAATTGAATTATGGGCACCATGTGTAGTATGGTGCTCGCCCAACTGTGCTTCCACCACTTTCTTTGTCCTGCCTGTTGTATGGTGAGGCTAGCACTCATTTGATGAATGCCATCTTTTGAGCGATTGTCAGACTTAAGAAGTGTATACAGTTTTTTGGCACCCCCTGTATACAGAGTGAAGGTCAGCAGCAAACAAGGTTTTGAGAGGAAAGCAGGCAGACAGTAGGAGAAAGATGTTTGTGATGTGTTAAGAGTCAAGGTGGTCGGTCCTTAGCTAGTGCTGTCTTGAATTCCAATTAACTTTTTAGTTCCTATTATTCTGTTATTCATGCCAGCCCTGCTGAATTTCTGTTCTTTTTATGGCTGGAGAGTTACCTATGCCTTAGTTCCTAGGCACATGTGCTCTCCCAGTAAAATACCTATTATCAGAGATAATCTGAATGGATATCTATTTCTTAAAACTAGAGGAGCTTAAGGGCCGGGCATGGTGGCTCAAACCTGTAATCCCAGCACTTTGGGAGGCTGAGGTGAGAGGATTGCCTGAGTCCAGGGTTTCAAGACCAGCCTGGGCAACTTGGTGAGACCTTGTCTCTACAATAAATAAAAAAAATTAGCAGGGCATGGTGGTGCGTGGCTGTAGTTCCGGCTACTTGGAAGGCTGAGGCAAAAGGATTGCCTGAGCCCAGCAAGTCGAGGCTGCGGTGGCCGTGAGCATGCCACTGCACTCCAACCTGGGCAAGAGTGAGACTCCAACTCAAAAAACAAAAACAAAAAACTAGAAGAGCTTAAAGAGAATACGTTCAGAATTAAAAAGACATGATTCAGAAGCAGCAAAGTATTAAAAAAGACAAAAAGGTTTTAAAATTCCAGTAAAAGAAGCTTATATGTCAATTAATTTGTTTGGCCATTCAGTAAACAAATATTTACTGAGCACTTACTATGTGCCAGGTGCTATTAGGGGTTCTAGGGCTATCAGTGACTAAGTCAAAGTCTCTTTGCCCTAACGAAGTTTAATTATAGTGAAGTAGACAGACCATAAGTAAATGATCACACAGATGATGTATACATGATAGATATCTGACAAAGCAGGAGAAGGGGATGGAATGTGATGGGTGTGAGTGGCCATTTTAGACAGTGTAGTTAGTACAGGTTCTCAGAAGAGATGATGACTTTTTTTGTTGTTGTTGAGTTGGAGTCTCACTCTGTTGCCTAGGTGGGAGTGCAGTGACATGCTCACGGCCTCCATAGCCTCCACCTGCTGGGTTCAGGTGATCCTTCTGCCTCAGCCTTCCAAGTAGCTGGAACTACAGGTGTGTGCTACCACACTTAGCTAATTTTTAAAAATTTATTGTAGAGACAAGTTCTCACCAAGTTGCCCAGGCTGGTCTCAAACCCCTGGGCTCAGGCAATCCTCTCGCCTCGGTCTCCCAAAGTGCTGGAATTACAGGCGTGAGCCCCCATGCCCGGCCTTAGGTGATGACTTTTAATAGAGACTTTAACAGGGTAGAAAGATGCAAATACTACACCTGGGTTATTGTTTTTATTTCAGATTGCCACACATTAGGAAAAAGATAAATTGTAATTTTCTTAAAAGAGATAAAAAATAAGGGAGCCCAAAGCCATGTCATATGAAGAAAAGTGCAAGATACTGGAGAGATTAGCCTGGAAGAGACAGAACTTTTAGGAAGAATGTGATATATATATTTAAAAATGTAAATATATTTGAGTGAGAGTCTCACTCTATTGCCCAGGCTGGAATGCAGGGGCACACTCATGGCCACCACAGCTTTGACCTGCTGGGCTCAGGCAATCATTCCGCCTCAGTCTTCCCAGTAGTTGGAACTACAGGCATGCACCACCACACCCAGTTAATTTTTTGACTTATTGTAGAGAGGAGATCTCACCTTGTTACCCAGGCTGGTCTTGATCCCCTGGACTCATGCAATCCTCTTGCCTTGGCCTCCCAAAGTTCTTATATTACAGGCTTGAGCCACCATACCCAGCTACTTTTTTCAAAATGTTTAAGGACTTTGTGGCAGACAGATTAAATTTGTTCTGTTTAGACTATAGGGTAAAAGTTAGAGAGAAATTAGCTATTGGCTGATCAAAGATGAAATCGGGGTTTTGTCTGCTTTGCTTTTAGGTGTAGAAAGAGTGACTACTTGATAATGAGATCGTGAAGGGGATGTGCATGTCAGATGAACAATAGGACCGAATGACTCAGGATTCTTTCTGAAAGTCTTTGGTTCTATGACCTTCAGTAATGATGAAATTATTACCTCACAAAACATCCCCTTCTGTGACCTTTTCACTGCAGAGGAGGAAATTGACTGTGGCAGCCATCTCCTAGAAAGGACAGTAGAATCCCATGGATCTACTTCCCAGTAAGGTGTCGAATGTTTGGTTTCTCAAGAAATTCACTGGTTGAATTCTTTCTCAAACTGCATGGCCTCCTCTGCCATTCACTTCCAAGGTCCAGGAACCCGTTTTAATAACTTAGAAGCTGACCAAGCTTTGGACGAGCCATCTGGCAGTGAAACAGATGAGTACTAACCCACTCGGTGAACTGCTCCCTCTGATTCTGGTTTCTGAGTTCCTGCTTCCCTCTCTGACAGGTGTTGCTATGTCATTTTAGGGCAACTGGAACTCGGTCCAGCCTTCAAATTCCGAGGTTGTTGGTCTCTCACTTTTCTTACCTTTACTTTTCCTACAGGAAAGTCCTCATCAGCACCAATCCATTGAGAGCCTCTGGCCACCTGTGATGCCTCAGAAAAATAAGTTAAGGTCTGGGCTGAAACCAGTCTTCCCTCTAATACTGTCTGGCGATCCTACTTCCAAGCGAGAACAATGGTTTAGGTGAAGTCCTGGCTTTTCTTGTAGTCATTTTCTTGTACTCTTCTTTTTCTTATCCGTGTTACTGCTTCTTTACAATAGAATTTAACACACTTGGTTGTAGGGAACACATACAGCCATATTATAATAAGACACACACCTTCTCTCTGTTTACATGCTAATGAAAGAGAAACAGTAATGCAAATCTAAGGTTTTCCACAAAGGGATTTCAAGAGTGAAGTGCCATAGTCAAAGGTCTGTGCTTTGGGGAAACAGAAAAAATGTACCCTCCATTTGAGTTAATGGATATAATGTAGGAACAATGTGTTATGAGAACACATAGACAAGTGAGGTTTTATTTTAAACTAGTTGCAGGAGCAGCCTATTTCCAGTTTAGAGAGGACACAGCAGAGTCTGGAGTTCCTTCAAAGGTTTACAGTGCCACATTCAGAAGCATCCCTCGCAGCTGAACATACTCCCACTTGGCACCAATCAATAACTCTTGTCATTGTCCGTCTTCTTCCTCAGAATCTCTGAGAACGTAGCCAACGTTAAAGTAATTGAGACCATTAGCCCCCTGCTGTAAGATCTACTAAACGAATTCTCTTTGTCAAGGTTTTCCACGGACAATGATTTCAAGAGTGAGGGGAAGTATTCAAAAGTGTACGCTTTGAGGAAACAGAAAGAAATGTACCCTCAGCTCAGCTTCGCTCTGGACCGTGAAAGAGATATGAGGAAAGATGGTAAGTTTTTCTTTCAGAGCGATGGCTTATGGGACTGAGATGTGGGTTGCAAGTAGACTCTGTAGGGATTATAGGTGTGGACAAATTGGCTTCTCTCATGGTAGTTTCAGGGACTGTTTTTCCTTGCAGCGTTGAAGTGAATAACTAACAGAGGCTCAGGTGTTGGTGAGTTTTGTACTTTTTGTCTAAATCCTCAACTTTCAAAAAAGGTGTAGCCTACGGTTTTTCAAGCTACATCACCCACTGCTTTAGCAGTTTTTGCCATACTGATGAATTATTTGGTCTATTATTTACGCAACCCTTTTCTTCAAAAGGACTTTAACAAATTCTTGTCCTGGTTACTACTATATCATTGACATGATGGTTTCGATATACAAATTATGTTTTTCTGACATACACTAAATTCATAATAATTAAACGTGGAAGGTTTATCTGTGTACCATCCAGAACCACTCAGTGGTATGAATAGTATACTTTGAGGAAGCCTGTTCCAGAAGGGCCCAAAGATAACTCTGTGTGTCTTAGAGGTCCACAAATCTCTTTAGGGTTGGGGCAGGGCATGGGGTGCAAGGGACTTGGGGTAAGGTATGACAGAAGGTGCAGTGATAAACTGCCTCAGGTATATCATTCATTTCACAACATCTGTTGGGTACCTACTAACTGTTCGACAATTATCAAGCACCAATAACACTTGTTCAATATGTGAAAGAGATGAACCAGATCATAAGAGGCCTTGTATAATATTTAAAGAAGCGTTGGAGTTTTATCCAGGAGTAGGCAGTTGGGACATGCTGAAGGCCTTCAGAACACTGAATGCACATTCATGTGTTAACTGTGGATCTGATGGGTCCCAGAGGTCACCAGCTCATGACTTCAAGAGAAAGTTCGTCTTTCCTACTAGGTTTCCTCCTCTCCTCAAGCAATTCCTGGTTCCACAAAGCCATGCTAGTGTTGGCTTAACACTTTTGCCATTCTCTCAGCCCACAGTCATGACTCTAGAGGCGTGCAGTCAGATTGTGCCATTCATTAACTGGCTCCTTCCGGCTTCTCGACTCCTGCCATACTTGTGTGTCCCAATTCACCTCCACCGCCTGCCTCTCCTAACTTCCCATCGTCTGCATGGCTAAAACCAACCTGTGGTATTAAACAAAACTTCATAGATACAGAGAAAAGTTGAAGAACAGCAGAGAGGGACTTAATTGCTTTAAAAGGGGCTACTCTTAGGCCAGGTGCAGTGGCTCATGCCTATAATCCCAGTACTTTTTTGGAGACCGAGATGAGAGAATTGCCTGAGCCAACAGGTTCGAGGCCAGCCTGGGCAACTTGGTGAGACCTCATCTCTACGATAAATCAAAAAGTTAGCCAGGCATGGTGGCATATGCCTGTAGTTCCAGCTACTTGGAAGACTGAGGCGGAAGGATCGCCGGAGCCCGGTAGCTCGAGGCTGTGTTGGCCATGAGCATGCCACTACACTCCAGCCTGGGTGACAGAGTGAGATTCTGACTCAAAAAAAAGGGGGGGGGGGTACTCTTAAGCTCAGTCTCAAACTCAACCTCTGGCACTTTATCCTTTTTTGAGGCTCTCTGGGCTTATCTGCACTGTCTCTGCCTGGGCTCCCAATACCCTTGGGCCTAGGAAGAGGAAGAAGGTCTCTCTTCCCCCAAAGCCTGTTTATTTAAGTGCGAATTTCGATTTCTATCAAGGGAAACTCTGCCTACAAAGTATGGTTTGAACTTTATAAGATAGATAAAGCAAACATAATAGTTAATAGTACAGTTAGTCAAGTCAGAGTTAAAAACATTTTTTTTTGAGTTGGAGTCTCACTCTGTCTCCCAGGCTGGAGTGCAGTGTCACACTGCTCATGGCCACTGCAGCCTCGACCTGCTGGGCTCAGGTGATCCTTCAGCTTCGGCCTTCCAAGTAGCTGGAACTACAGGCACGCCCCCAACTACACCCGGCTAATTTTTTGATTTATTGCAGAGACGAGGTCTCATCAAGTTGCCCAAGTTGGTCTTGAACCCGTGGACTCAGGCAATCCTCTCACCTTGGCCTCCCAAAGTGCTGGGATTATAGGCATGAGCCACCGCACCTGGCCAGAGTTAAATCTTAAATGATACCACAGGAAGAATAACAACATTTCCTCTTAAATCCATATCTGGGGAAAATACTTTCTCTACAATCTAACCTTACTTAGGTTAGAATTTCTCTAATTTTGCAGGGCACAATCCTGTTAAGGATACAGCCAATTTACATTTCTAAACAGAACACTCAATACTCAGTATGCAACGACTATTAGAATTATGGTTTTACGGTTTCCCTCAAGAAAAGTGAGAGGATTCTTACTTTACTTACCTATCTAGGGGGCCCATTGTGGTATTTCCTAAACAAAGCCAGTCTGCTGGGTAATGGAGTCAATGTCTACCCTTCAAGCAGAAGAAACCGCTAGCCATTCCCCACACAATGTTTCATGTTTACCAGGCATCCAAGTAACTAAAGATGACATACAAAACCATTTGGATGGGGGCTATTACGGTTGTTTAGGGGGCTGTCCAAGAGATAGGTGATAGCAGGAGGGATCAGGGAACAGAATCAAGTGACACTCACAAGGCGGAATGCTTCCAGAAACTGGGGAGGGAGAGGAGCAAGGAGATGCCATAATGAACGCTTCCAAACAACAGGGGAGAGCTGAAAGAGAATCTGGAGAGTGCCACTGTCAGACAGAACGGATCAGTTTACGATTGAGAAAACATAGGCGAGAATGCGCGTTCATTTAGTGAGAGTTACTCATCAGTATGCTTTCAGATGGAAGCATTCGAAAGAGGGAGGATTAAACAAGGGAGGTTCTACACTGGCAGTGTATTCTACACTGGGTACTGCTGAAAACAAGGCATCCCAGTGATAGCGAAGGTTGGGAGTGGTAGTCCGCGGTCCAAAGTGGTCCAAAGCCCACCCTCTTGCTAAGAGCGAAGGCCCGCCTGCTCGGTCCCTCGAGGCAAGCCAGGCTCTCTCGCGCCTTTCAGAAGCGCCTTTCCGGCACTTCTGAAAACCCACGTTCGCCTCGGTGCCCTGTGCTTTGTCGTAGCTCCCCAGAAGTCAGAGAGTAAAAGGCCGACCTCCCGGGCGGCTCGGGAGCCACTAACCCTCTCCTCGCTCCTGCAAGAGAAGCCCACCAAGACCGCGCCCGGGGAAAGCGCCTTCCGCAACGGGAGGGCCCCGCACTGGATTGTCAACAATGCCATCGTCACGAAGTGAACGCAGACCCTTCAGGTCTCCCGCCTTGCCCTCCAAGAGCCTGAGGGACCTGCAAAAGTCGTCAGCCAAATAAAACCGCATTCCAGCTTCCGCGGGCGTGGGCCGCCGTGCAGCAGGCCGGGC